TGGAGTGGCCCCCCGGGAGTGGGACCCCTGGAGTGAGACCCCAGGTGTGGCACCCCTGTAGTGGGACCCCAGGAGTGGCACCCCTGGAGTGGGACCCCAGGAGTGGGACCCCAGGAGTGGGACCCCAGGAGTGGGACCCCAGGAGTGGGACCCCAGGAGTGGGACCCCAGGAGTGGGACCCATGGAGTGGCACCCCTAGAGTGGCACCCCTGGAGGGGACCCCTGGAGTGGGACCCCAGGAGTGGGACCCATGGAGTGGCACCCCTAGAGTGGCCCCCTGTAGTGGGACCCCGGGAGTGGGACCCCGGGAGTGGCACCCCAGGAGTGGCACCCCTGGAGTGGGACCCCTGGAGTGGGACCCCAGGAGTGGCACCCCTGGAGGGGCACCCCGGGAGTGGGACCCCGGGGGTGGCACCCCTGGAGGGGGACCCCGGGAGTGGGACCCCTGGGTGTGGCACCCCTGGAGTGGCACCCCTGGAGTGGCACCCCGGGAGTGGCACCCCTGGAGTGGGACCCCAGGAGTGGCACCCCTTGAGTGGCACCCCTGGAGGGGACCCCTGGAGTGGGACCCCGGGAGTGAGACCCCGGGAGTGGCACCCTGGGAGAAGGACCCCAGGAGTGGAACCCGAGGGAGTGGGACTCCAGAATAAGACATTCAGACAGATTTAAATAATCCAGATTAGATTTAACAGGTTCATCAAACCTTTGATAATCCAAAATCTGGAGAGAAATGTAGAAGATCAAACTCTTCTCGCCTGGTTTAGATGTCAGACAATAATCTCAGAGAACGGTCGACAACGAAAAAAAAAAAAAAACTGATAGGAATGATATTTAGTCACTAGTAACTATGGGCGTAAGGATTATCTTTGGTCACTGGTCATACCTTGACATGACACACGCTAGAACAGTAGGTGGCGGTGTGCCTAAAAATGTAAATTGTGACCAGTTATTAAACCAAGAAAAGAGCTCACCACGTGCCGTACCATGAACGCCCGTTTGTCGTCGACAGGAGCGTTGACCATAGGCATTCCCGGGGAGCTGCGTGGGTACGAGATGGCGCACAAGAGACACGGCCGACTGCCATGGAGGGAACTGTTCCAGCCCAGCATCGCTTTAGCTCGGAAAGGCTTTCCTATCGGAAAAGCTCTGGCTTTAGCCATCACCACGCACAAGGAAGACATTGAAGGAAACGCCGCCCTGTGGTAAGAACGCAGCATGACATAAATTACTACTTCAGTGGTATCCTACTACAGCTACTGCAGTTCTGATTGGCTGGACAGAATTAAGATTTGATTTGTGCACACTTTTTTTGTAATTTTTTCATTTTAGTGAAGTTTTCTGTGATTCCGAAAAAAACATCCTGAAGGAAAATGACATCATTCGATTTCCTAAGCTGGCGGAGACCTATCAGAGAATAGCAGAGGAGGGTCCTGATTTGTTCTACGAGGGCTCCATCGCCAAAGCCATTGTCAGTGAGGTACAGGAAGCAGGTAAAAAAAAAAGCAAAGCTGTTCAAATCTATACGCATTTTGAACATACCCATTTTCTTCCCACTTTAAAAAAGTAATTATTTTTTTTAAGGTGGTATTATCACACTGGAGGATCTGAGGGAGTATCAGCCTGAGTTAAACGAGAAGCCTCTCAAGGCCAAAGTTGGACAGTTCACCATGTACGTCCCCAACGCCGCCACCGGTGGTCCAGTGGTGGCATTCATACTCAACATATTGAATGGTGAGCACATTCAAGTCTTTCCTCAAGCCAGGTTCCCCCTGGGATGACCGTCCATCTGGACTGGCAGCAGAGAGGAAATCTGCTCCTCCGTTTTGTCTGTCAACATGAGTCACCATCAACCATCCATCTGTTCAGTCACCGAGCCGAAAAAAAAAACAAAAAAACCCATTTAATCATCAAATCATCGGGTTTGAATAAAAAAACAAAACTATTTTTAATTAAGGGATAAAGGCTGGTGTGTTTTTTAGTGTCGATCGAAGAATCTGTCGATACCGTTCATATCACGATACATGACCAGCAATATAATACGTCTCGTATATATATATTTTTTTGCAGGATACAACTTCTCCGACAAGAGCGTCTCCACGACAGAGCAGAAGATCCTGACGTATCACCGAATAGTAGAGGCGTTTCGGTTTGGCTACGCCAAGAGAAGTGAGCTTGGAGACCCCCGTTATATGGACATGACGGAGGTGAGACCGTATACCGGTATTGCGGTACAACTCACGACTTTATCGTTACTATCTGTATCTCAAAAAAACAATGTCATGACTGGACTTTACAAACTGCGAACGTTCCCTCACTTTCCTCTCTCCAGCTCATCAACAACATGACCTCCGACGTCTACGCAGAACAGATAAGGAGCAAAATTATGGACCACACCACCTTCCCAGAAGGTTACTATGGAAACATGAATTCCGTCCCAGAGACACACGGGACGTCTCATGTGTCAGTGGTGGACGAAGATGGTAATGCAGTAGCAGTAACCAGCACCATAAACTTATAGTAAGTGGTTTTCCACCCCCCCCCCCCCCCCCCCCCGCATGTCCCCCCTCCGTCGTGACATCATCTTCACTATGTTTTTTTTTTTCCTCTCAGTTTTGGTTCCCAGGTGATGTCTCCCTCTACTGGAATCATTCTGAACAGTCAAATGTTTGATTTCAATCATCCCGATGGAGTGCAGGGCTTCAGAAAACCTCACAACCTCAACAACCTCATCCAACCAGGTGAGGGCAAAAAAAAAAAAAAAACACAACCGTAGTCCACCTGCGAAGAGGTCGACAACGCATAAACGATCCACTCATCCACTAATCGATGACATTCCTTACTCCCAGTTCTCCATTGCTCGGCTAGCTCCAGCTAACACGCAACATCTTCAGTCTGCTATAGTTAAAACTAGTTTTCGTCGTCACTCTAAAGACATGACACTATTTTGAGAAAAAAAAAAAAAAATCAGCCACCTCATCTCAACGACATCCGTCTGTCACCAGGCAAAAAGCCGCTGTCGTCCATGTGTCCAGCGATCATCTTTGACAAAGACCACAAACTGAAGATGGTTATAGGAGCAGCTGGGGGCACCAAGATACCCACCGGCATAGCCTCGGTGAGTGCCGCCCCAAAAACACACACCCATATCCGTGCACGACACACTCTTTTTTCAACATCATTCCTCGTCTGGCCACACGCAGGTGATCCTGAACTCCCTGTTCTTCAACTACGACCTGAAGAGAGCTTTGGCCGAGAGCAGGATCCACAACCAGCTGGACCCCAACACCACACTGGTAGAACCGGGCTTCGACCAGGTGGGTCACAAACATGCATCCCAGCAGTCTTCACGTCAGGGAGAGGGTGGGGTCAAACATCACAGGGTCATGGTCTTTATTTTTGATATATTTATATATATATAGCTCTCTCTCTCTCTATATATATATATATATACACAGTACTATAATATTTCGCGGTTCATCTTTCGCGGATTCACGACTTCGCGAAAAACTGTATCTATAAAATATACATTGTCACAGGAATGGGACGACGATACGTTTCGATCGGTCCATTTTTAGCAACAAAATCGACGACGTCGTGACGTCATGCCCTACGAGCTACTCTTCGACTGGAAAAAGAAGCAGTGGAAGCAACTGCCGATCACGATGTTTTTGCAGCCTCGCAAAAAAAAAAAAAAAAAAAGAGCCGGTTCCTGCTACTACTACGATACACCTTCGGAAACCGTGGGAGAGGTGCCCCAGGAAATGGCACCACCCTGTGGAGAGACGTAAAAGCAATCATCGGCTGCGCAGTAAAAGTCATCATCATTTTACTGCGCATTAATATGGTGTCGCTACTTCGCGGAAATTCAGTTATCGCGGCAGGGCCTTGGAACCGATCTACCTTTAAACGAGGGACCGCTGTATCGTAGATATAGCGCTATATAGATAAATATACTACATTAAGAGTAGTATTATCTACGTCGTACGACGTCATATCTTAACCAGATTAGTTCATATGTTAGCATGTCTGTTTACCTTTGTGCGACTGTCACGACGCGCCGAATTCAGATAACTCTTTTAAAGTTCTTCTCCCATTCGGTCGAGTACTCTTAGTGTTTTCACTAAACGTAAAAAGTTAAAATAGTTCCACATATCTGTTTAGCCTGACTTCTTCCGGTCGGAGTATTCCCGCTTCTGGCTCCCGCCGTTCACTATGATTGGATCTCTGTTTAGATGTTCCGCCTTTCAGTCAGCAACATACTCTGATTGGCTCTCGGCTCTCGTTGGTTCCTCCCATTTACGCGACGAATTCAGCGCTGATAGGTCTTCTTCGCCGCCAGAGTGTTTTATGTCCGTTTTTATTGGGTTAGCGGTTAAGGTCAAGTTAGCGTTAGTGATGGGAAGACCGACTCTTTTTATTGATTCGAATCTTTAACTCTCGAACAGTGAAATGAACGAGTCGTGAACGAATCTTGAACTAATCATTTCATTCGTTTTACAGCAGGTGGCGCTTTAGCCCTATTGTGGGCGTTGTAAAGAAGGCTGCGGTTCTCCGACACTAAATACTGAAGGCAACATGGTTTGCTTCCGCTGACAAAGTCTACAAAGTACACAAAATGCCATAAGTAATTAAAACCATGTGAAAAGCTAAGAAATAAAAACACACCACAATGTGAAGATGAATGAGAGCAAAAGAGACCCGAGCTCTCTGTCACGTGACAAATGAAACGAATATGCGAGAATGAGGCGAAGGATTAGTTCACAGAGAATGATCCGTTTATAGTGATTAGTTCACAGCAAAAGATTAGTTCACAGAGAATGATTCGTTCACAGCGAAAGATTAGTTCGCAGATTATGATTCGTTCACGGCGAAAGATTAGTTCACGGGGAATGATTCGTTCACAGCGAAAGATTAGTTCGCAGATTATGATTCGTTCACGGCGAAAGATTAGTTCACGGAGAATGATTCGTTCACAGCGAAAGATTAGTTCACGGGGAAAGATTAGTTCGCAGAGTGATTTGTTCGCAGAGTGTGATTAGTTCGCAGTGAGTGATTTGCGAGTGATTCGTGAGTTCAATATGAATACATATTTAATATGACTCGGTAGTCACGAATCTTTCATATGACTCGGGAGTCACGACTCATATGAAAGATTCGTTCATTTTGAACCAATCACTCGCGAACGACACATCCCTACTTTCCGAATAAAAGATTATCTGCTCGTGACTCCGGTCTAACTCTTTGATTTGTTGACACAGGACGTGCTAGAAGGTCTGGTACAGAAGAACCACTACACAAAGATCAGGAACACTAAAACTCCACACACGGTCATCCAGGTGGTGCTGCGGCAAGACGACCATCTCGTTGCAGAGTCTGACCCCAGGAAAGGAGGCTCTCCTGCGGGGTACTGATGGCGATAATGTCCGGCTCTTGAGCTGAGAGTCGGCCAACGAGTTCTGCTGATACTTTTCAGGTTTCTACAAAAACACAAACAGGTTATCATCGTCTTGCTGTAACGTAGGGCAACCACACCGACCACTTCTGCCACCGTGTGGCCTCTTAGAATAAGGCGTTGATTATCATTATTACAGTTCACCTTTTGAACATTGTCAAAGTTTTTCTAGGTAGAACGACGGTTGTCCTCGTGGTTGGAGTCACCCCGTGCCCGTAACATAAGTTTAAAATTGAAATGATAAATGTTTAATATGAAGTAGGGGCACGTACTGTACATTTGTAATATATTCAGAAAAAGTATATTTGCAGATGCCTTTTCGTAAACACACCTCATTTCTACGACACGTTTGCCGCCATGCTTTTCAATAAACATTTTGAAACAAGAATCTCACCTGACGTGAATTTGTCATTGTTGCGATGTGTGTTGTGTTTTTATTTAAAATTGTAACTATTGGTAAACAGAATATCGCAATATTTCAGTATATCGATGTTTTATTAAACGCCTAACAATTACTTAAATACTCAAACACGATGTCGTGCGTGAAGTTTTTTATTACACACATTTAATCATCGCGGCCGTTGCGCTGTGTTCGTGCGGTTGACGTTTTCACTTTGACATTTGCCAAAAAAGTGTTTCGACGCCATCTGCTGGCCGCGTCAGTGGTGTGACCACGGAGCTAAAGTCGCATGGAAACGGGCGGAGCTTGTGTCTGCAGCTCCTGGTCCAGGAGCCTGAAGAGCATGGCACTTTTGTTGCACTGCGACGTCTGTCCCAGAGAACGGTGGAGTTGAGCCTGAAGGTAGTGGACGTCACGTAGCCGCTCCTTACAGTTGAGCCTGGAGAAGTAGCCAGCGGCCTCGTTCAGCGTGTCGACGGCAGAGGCGGCCAAACTCGGATCTGCGGAAGAAACGATCACACAGACGTGATGTGACCTCAGAGACGAGTCCCAACAGACGATGGGGGGTGACGGGGTTTTACGCCGTTACCTGTTTGTCCTTGTCTGTTCGGTCTGTAGCCGGCCATGGACAGCTGACAGCGGGCGGTTAGCAGCAGGGCCCGACCTTTGTCGATGACCCCTCCGTGGGCCAGAACGGGCTCGATGGCCTCGTGGAGGACGCTCAGCGCCTGCTCCGGTACGCCCAGCATCAGCTGCCGGACAAAACAGAGGCATCCGATTAGATCACACTTACACGAAGGGTCCGTCCCGAGTCCGGCGGCTAACTGGAGCCGACCTGAGTGAAGGCCAGGTGGAGAACGGTCTCCGACACCAGCGACTGCAGGTGGTGCTGTCTCGCCAAGGCCAGGGCCTGCAGCAGCAGAGGGAGGGCCGTAGAGAAGCCGGAAGACTCCCAGTGGAGCTCGGCCATGGCCAGCATCACCCTGAGGGAGGCAAAGAAACGAAAGAAAGCGGAATCTTCAACTGAACTATAATGCAGTCCATGTGAACGCACGACTCTGCGGTACCTGATGGTCGCCTCCGTACATCGGACCTTCTCGCAGTGGACCTGCAGCCGCTGTAGGATACCGTAGGCCTCCGTGCTGCGGTTCAGAGCCTTCAGAACCTGAGCTTTCCTGTCCACGAAAAAAAACAAAACAACAGTTATAGCACAGGGTTCGGTTTGGACCGCACGTTAGCGTTAGCTTGTTGGCTGTTACCTGAACAGCCCCTCAGTCTTGTTCAGGGCAGAGATGGCTGTGATGAATGTCTCGGCTGAATGGTACTTCCCCTCATTCATGTGTTTCTCAAACTCTATTTTGAGGTCACATAACATCCAGAGCTGACGCCAAAAAATAAATAAATAAATAAATAAATAAATAAATAAATAAAATGTTTTTACACACACACACACACACACACATATATATATATATATATAAAATCTCTCAATATATTGTCATGAGTACTGAGTACTGGGAGTGCCTGAGTAATCAGAGCCTGAGTACTCGGAGCGCCTGAGTACTTAAAGCCTGAGTACTCGGAGCCTGAGTACTCAGAGTGCCTGAGTACTCGAAACGCCTGAGTACTCGGAGCGCCTGAGTACTCTGAGCCTGAGTACTTGGAACACCTGAGTACTGGGAGTATCTGAGTACTCGGAGCCTGAGTACTCAA